CCAGGTCCGATGCCATGGAGCGCTTTGAAGATGATAATCAACACCTTGAAGCGCACTCGGAAAGCCACCGGCAGCCAGTGCAGCTCGCGCAGTAACGGCGTTACATGGGAGCGACGAGTCCCTCCCAACACCGCCCGCGCGGCTGCATTCTGGACTAACTGGAGTCTCCGAGTGCTCCTCAAGGGGAGCCCCATGTAGAGAGCATTGCAGTAGTCCAGGCGGGAGGTGACAAGAACATGGGTGACTGTCCGCAAGGCGTCCCGGTCCAGAAAAGGCCGCAACTGGTAGATCAGGCATTATGTATTATGATACATATATTTGCATATTTGTGTATTTGCATATACATACATGTGCTTGCCTACAAATATTTACTTAGGTTGCCTCTAGATGAAGATCAGACCATCCAGTTTTGAGGTAGAACCAGATTGCTAAATAAACTGGTGCATTAAATTCTCTGCCGCTCAAGGCTAAATTGATCATTGTCGGAATAAAAGTCTAATTTTGCTGCTACTTTAAACCTGTTTCTTTTATGGAATTAGATAGCTTTTAAAATATGTAAATGTAAAAGGATGCCTTCAAGACCTGAATCTCACTTCTGATTACCCCAGTTTCCTGATTGGAATAGTGGTTCCAAATATATACAGTTATCTATTTTTCCCATAAAGCTTAATGGAAGCCCTTGCAAAGAATAGAATAGAATAGAATAGAATAGAATAGAATAGAACAGAATAGAATAGAATAGAGCTGGAAGGGACCTTGGAGGTCTTCTAGTCCAGCCCCCTGCTCAAGCTGAGCCAGATCTTCCCTGTATACAGCCAATAAAGAGATGGTGTCAAGGTTTGGGGTTCTTCAGGATCAAGAAATTTAATGTCTAAAGTTAATGTAACTTCCTTCTTTCTGCAGATCCCCACTTTTTCATCTAGGGCAAGTTGTGGTAATAATAGCAGCAGCACCACTGCACCCCTGCCATTCTGGTACCCCTCCCCCCAGCCCACAGTTCTGGAAGACAAGCAACTGCACACTTGCTGTTTGTACTGTACTCCCAAACTGAAGGATGACCAGAGCAAAGAGGTTCTCTAGAGCCTAGTTGGGAGAGGAGACCCTCTTTCACAGATACCAGCCCTAGTACAGGTCTCATCCATATTCTTCATTTGCCTAGAAGCCTCCAAATACTACTTTTTGCGCATGCTAATTGGCAACCAAAATTGCTATTTATTTATACTTAGTGATTGTTACATAAGTTTCTACCTTGGTGAAATTTAGCCCTTTTATATCCCCAAATCAGACATCAGGCTGGCCATTTGCAGTGGTTACTCTATTTCTACTTTCCCTTTATTAAAGGGAATTAAAGTGAGCTGCTTTGGAAGCCAAAAATTAAATAGGAAAGATGCAACAGAGGTGCAATCCTTCAGTATTTCTACATCCTGGCCCTTTCTTGCATATTGGCTTTGAGAAATTTCACTGCTGCTACCATTTCACCTTTTGCTTCCTCTCTCTCTCTCTCTCTCTCTCTCTCTCTCCCTCCCCCCTCCCTCTCTTCCTCTGCTTTCCCTCCAACCTCCCTATGGACTTTCCTCTCCTAGGTGCGGGCCAGTGCCATTGCACAGGATGCTGATCAAAACTACGACTATGCTAGCAACAGTGTTATCCTGCACCTGGATGCCGGGGATGAAGTTTTCATCAAGCTTGATGGAGGCAAAGCCCACGGAGGAAACAACAACAAATACAGTACCTTTTCAGGTTTCATAATCTACTCAGACTGAGGCTGGAAAGAAGCTTACTGACTCCCAGCCCCCTGGATTTCTCCATGTGGCAAAATTGGCTGCTGAATCCATTGATACTAATGTCTTTGCATACAGCCAGTCTCCCTCCCTGGGTCATATCAAAGCAGAGTTGGGTCACTTTGTTTTTTCCTTTAGTGGGCACTGGGATGACCCAACTGATGATTCAATCACCATCCCCATTTCTTTTACTTTCCATTGTATCATGAACCACTAAGCCTTTCAACAGTATTAATATGAAGGATAAAGAGAAAGATAGCCAAGGAGCCAGGGTGAATCTTGAGGTGTAGTCTGGAGAATTGATCATCCCATTGCCCTTGAGGTTATTTTCATTTCCATCTTATAGGACTTGTTGAGACATGCTGCATGCTATTTATTGGGAGTAGATTCTATATGTAAGTAAGAGGCTATGGAAGCTTAACCTAATGAGTGTGTATTGCCATCTGACCCTCCCAAGATATACTTATATGTACCTTTTTAATCATGTCCAGGGCATCCTTAAGGCTAAACTTCTTATCTGAACCTAAAGCAACTACCATTTCTGGATAGCATAAACCAGAATGTGAAACCAACTAGAAATGGTGATTGTTCTGAACTTGGATAAGTCGCTAAATTAATCTACTCAACACAGTTAAAGAATGTTGTGGCATGGGATAAAATAGTGACATACATGGTCCTGGAAACCTTTTAAAGTTGTTTAACATATTGTATGAATGCTCTCATATCTTTACTAGAAGAGGGGATTACTGAAATTTAAAAATATTGTGCATTAAAGGTAAAGTATTACTTTGCCAAGTTTCAAATGCATATTCAAATATTAACCTCCATGAGGGTAGTCCCATGTGATTCTACTTGTTATTGTTCATGTAGTTATTGGTCATATATAATTTGAGTCAGTGGACAGTCATAACCTTGTCTTTCCCAATCCAATCCCTGATGCTGGTGGGGAAATTATGCAAGTTGTCTAATACAAATGGAGAACCCAGGACTGGAGGAAGTTAATCCTTCCCCCCCACACACACACACACCCCAAAATCCCAGTTTCAATCAGTTAAGTCAATAATCCTATTAAGTATCCAGGATCTCATGCACATGCATTTCTATATGTGTGCAGGTGCATGTTTGCACATACAGTATATGTGCATATTATCCAAACAGGTCTACTATCAGAATAGTATATAACTGAATTGTCCCTCTCCTCAGTTTGTGAGTGTTCTTAAACTGAGGTATAATCTCAGTTCTTTCTTTGCCAATTGTAATTTGGTATTTTAATACAATCTTATTTTGTTGAGTTTTAGAAGGTAAGATGGGAAAGTTGATTTTTCTTACCAAAGGAAGAAAAAAAGAAAAAACTCTATCGGCTTAATTCAAGCTGAGCCCTTCCTTTGGAGTCTCTGTCTCTTCTTCACTGGGTTACTTCCCAGTTGATTATGGTTTCTTTCTTTTCAGACTGGAAGGGTCTAGGGAGAACAGGACGCTTTTGGGTTTCCCATCAAGTCTCTGGTCATTAAGATTGGAAAGATCAGAAGAATGACACAGAGTTGTATGTGTAATTTTCAGACTCATGTCAGACATATTTCTCCTTTATATATAATTTGTCATGTTGCCCCTTGCTAATCTTTCTGGCCCCAACTTATTTCTTATTTAAAATGTGAAAAAAAGATTAACAAAGTAAAGTTTATCAGACCTTCCCCCTCCCAATGCAGCTTGTATATTGAGAATGGATGATTAGTGTAAGCCTGAAGTACAGTTTTACTTTCTCTCACACACACTAAAAACTAATTATGCCCACCATATTGGCTGCACAGGGTAATGATCTATACAGGATGGTTGTTATATTAAAAAAAATATCTTGGTAATGTGATCCTGCATTGTTTACCGCATGGGCAAAGGAACTTGAGCAGAAAGTGTGGACATTCAGTTTTACAGGTTTTGTAGTCTAAAATTTAACAAGCTGGGTTCATTGACTCAACTCCAGTTGGTTCCTATGCTCAGTGGTGTTCTAGTAAATGTTTAACACTGACTCTGCCAGCTCCATTGTTGCCACTGTGTGATGCTGCTAGCCATTAGACAGCTGAGCGGTGCACTAGGTGTGATGGCTCAGGTCTTCTCTCATCTGGCTTGCAAAATTCCAGAAAAATTAACATTTGGCTGTTGCAAGTACAAGTCAGGTATAGCACTGTACTGCTTGTGCTGATCTTAAGTCATAAAACAGATAGAAATACTTTTGAGTACATGCAAGTACATATTTCTTAGTACCAAAGAGTATATAAAAAGGATTACCATACATCAGGAAATAGGAGGCAAGAATTCTAGTTCAAAGAGTACTGTTTTCAGATGTCTGAGTCTAGACTATCTTAATATAAAGGTTTATTATATTACAAATGAAATTAAGCAGAAAAAAATATCAAATTACATAACATATTTTATTGCAATTTCCACACACACACACACACACACACACAGAAATGCTTGTATCTCATTAGTTAGTTTTTCGGAACCTAATGTTTAGAGATGTTTTGGATTATAACTTCCACTGTTTTCTATCTAACATGACTAGAACAGTCCAACATGGAGAGGAACAAGATGAAGAAGACAGAACTATTTCAACTGTGCACAAGCTACTTTATTCCAAGAAATTGTTACCCAGAAAAATAAACAAAAAATTAATGAATTGAGATATTAAGCAAAAATAAAAAGTGCAGTCTTATACAATGTAGTATGTTTTCACCAATGTGTTTATTGGAATTTACTGCTAGGTAAAAAGTGTACTATATATAGAAATAGATAGGGTAAATATAACACAATACTTAATGATCAAATTAATAAGAATGAAATAGTGAAATACATAAATATATTGAAAATGAAAATGTTGAAATATCCACAAATACATACTACATCTCCCTACACAATAATTAAACACTAACAGAAAGCCAGCACAGTTTTCAGTTTGAATTGTTCTCATTCATTGAAAATACTGTATGCATCAAAATTCAGAAATTGCATTTCCATAAGACCGTGTTTAACCTGAAAATCTAAGAGGCTTCACTAGTTCAATGGCAGTGTGTGCAGAGAGATTAGTATGTTGTGATGTGAGACATCATTCTGTTTCCTAAAAATCTTTATCAAATGAAGTCAGCATAGACGGAGTAAACTTAGAATAAAAGACATTGGACTATTTAGGGTTTTTTAAATTCCTAATTATTGGCCCTGACAAATTTAGTAAATTAAAAGACATTTCAAATTGTTTATTTTTTTTTTCACCAGATGTGGAGAAACTGTGATAAGAAAATCTTCATAGTAGATTTTCCTCCATCCATTTTTGGCCAGAAAGTCAGTCCTATTTGTCAGTATATCAATTTTTCATTCACTTTTTAAAGTACTTTTTATGGGCCCCTGACAATCCTCAGATCATGCTGCTGCAATTGGGTAGTAAATTGAGCAACACTGGACATATAATTTCCTGCCAGTTTTCTATTGAAAAAAAAAAAGAAATATGATGCATAAAGAATTGCCTGGTCTTCAGTCATTTAAATTGATAATTTGAAAAAGAATTCTTGCACCTGTTCTCACAATGTACAAAACATTTCCCCAAAAATTTAGACTGGGCCACTGTGGCCCTTGGTTGCTGAAAAAAAAATTACAAAAAATGTTGCTTCATCCCTGATTTTTTTAATGTAAAGATTATATATTCTTAATACTTCATATGTTTTAGTAATGATAAAGAAAGGGAAGTTCGTGAAAAGAATTTGTGAGCCTGTTCTTCATCCTCTCCTCTGCTATTTCTACTCACACATAGGATCGAAACCACTCCACTGCTTTGGGGGGGAAATTATTTTTTTTCTACCTTTAAGCACTGTTTTCTTGTGATTCTTGGATTTTTCTTGTAAGATGCCTTACAACTATCTATATTCTAAACAATAGGAGAAAATGTATTTTAAATAAACCAAAACATTGCTGAGAGCCAAACTTCCTGGCTTTGCTGCTGAGGTGGCAAAAATGGGAGCTGCTTACCATCTGTTTGGCCGTATAATATGATTGACGTACCTCATCTGGCTTTGTAGACCACAAATTATGCAGGTCAGCCATCTATGTATCTAAGGGCAATTCCATGTTATCACTGTTTTTATCCTCAGCCTGATGCTCAAAGCTGTTTAAAGCCAATACTTTCATCATCATTTCTACTATTCTCACAATATTATTTGTAGAGGTTTTCAGGAGATGATTGGTGCTCTTTCAATTGACCAGTGAGACAATCAGCGATTGTCAGGTGAGATGACAATTATTATCTCCTTCCATCGGTGGCATCCACCACCCCTCCTGCTCTTTAGCTGAGCTGCTACCAGTCCCAGAGAAACCAATAACCACTCCATGCAACAGGAACATAAAATAAAAAGTTGGTCCTCCTTCCTCATGCTTTCAGTTCATGTTGTGTGTGTGTTTGTCTTACCATTTGGAAATAGAAAAAAAAAGATTATTTGCTACAGAAAGGCCTTCTGTTTGCAAAATTGGCTTTCCTCATTTCCAAAGTCACCCATCTGGCTTTCATGCCTAAGCCAGAACGAGAACTCACAATCTCCTACCAGTGTTTCTCCAAAAATAAGACCCAGTCTTATATTAATTTTTGCTCCAAAAGACACATCAAGGCTTATTTTCTGGTTAGGTGTTATTTTCAGGGAAATACTGTACTAAATGCATCTATCTGGCTGATGATCTTCTGGAGCTTATTTTTGGAGTGGGACTTATATTACGAGCATCCTGAAAAATCAGGCTAGGGCTTCCAGTTGGGTCTTATTTTCGGGGTAACGCGGGTAGTTTCTAGCCTGGTGAATTAACCACTAGACCAAATGCCAGGAAATAATTGTGGGAGAGTTGATCATAATTCAAAACAAGCCCAGTTGTGCATAGAGTTAAATTAACCCCATCCTTGACAATGGCTGAAAAAATAAGTTCCAGTACAGAATTCACTATTATATCACAGTGGGGCAATATCAAATATATTTTCAAAATCCTGATTATCTACAATATCCAAGCCATACTTACTCCTGCCTGTTTCTCTGATGGATAAGGGGCTAGAGATATTCTGAAGGCTTGTGGGTACTGGCCAGGAAAAAGAGCTAATGGGGTGCCAGGTCCCTTCTGGAGAAATGGAAATGGAGATCTGTATTCTTCAAATTTATTCT